CCATCTATTCTTGTCACATCTTTTTCTTTGTTTCTTTACGTCATCATTATTCCTGTTGACCCTGGAAGACTAACTCTTGTCATTACTCTCCATGCAATCACAGCTCTTTCTTTGTCCTGTCCCATTCTTAGTCAAAATCTAATATATTTCTCACATTTCCCAGTTCAACTTGGAACATTACTATTTCGCTTTCCATAGATGCTGCCTGATCAGCTGAGCTTTTCCAACAATAAACTAAATAAAACAACTTACTCAGACATGTTATCATCACAGCTCTGGAGTAAATGGGACTTGAACCCAGGCTTCCTGGCCCAGAGGCAGGGACACTACCACAATAAACCTCTACCCATTTGGATAAATAGTGAGCAGTAGAGGAAGTAAATCCATGCTACTTTGCATTTCACAAAAAACATTTCATGACATTTCATATCTATGCCAAATATGCTTCAATGACATGAAATTATGATACAAAATGTATTAGCATGAATGATTCCATTCCCAAAATTGCCTTATTTACCTAACAAAAATTGTTTCAGTACATATCCAGAAGTACAGTATTCTTTCACTTTCAAATCTGACCACTATTTTAAGAGAACAAAGTAAAATGGCATCTGCTAAAGATCATTGATAGTAGATTAAAATCATGCAAGACAATGTCACTAAAAACAAATTTATTGAAAAATCTACATAATTACTAAGATATTTGTGCTAGACACCCATCGGATCTGAAGTCAAACATCACCTACATTTTAAAAACATCACATTCAATTCAATTTAAAAGCAGTACAAATAAATAACTCATTTCAAAGCCTTACAGTACTGCAGTTGAGGTATACTTGCTTTTCCACTGCTCACCTGTTTAAATCATAAATTACCTCATGCTACAATTTTCCTCCTCCTAACAACACCATCTCATGTTGTAAGGTATCATATACATTTGGTGATTTTTCATGTTTTTACCTAGCCAGCAACTATCAACAGACTGGTCAGCTCTGCGTTAACTGGAGTCTGATCTTACCCTTTCTAATTTTGCACACAATTTCCTCATTAGGGGACACTCAGAATTAATAGAGGAAAGAACACATTTGAGGTATTGTATTTACTAAACTGCAACTGCTATGCAAAAAAAGGTGAGACTGTGAAGAGGCAAACAAGGCTGTTAATTTCCATTAACTTTTTCCCCGCATTTACCAAAATGTTTTCCATTATAAAATTTCTACATCCACTCAATGCAAACTGGCTATGACAACTTGTCATGCTGGAAACAACATGAACCCAGTTTAAAAAGGCAATATCCATCATAAATATGAAAGTGGTAATTTAAGAATGACAGAATAAAATGGGAACTCAACTGTACTTATGTTCAAGTTTGTACAACTAGAAAACTACATTTGGCCTTGTAACAAAAGGAAATCATTTAGTGTAATTACGTTCACTTTACATGAACAATAATGTATCACAAAAATACAAAAGGAAATAAGGGACAAGGCTTGAAATCAGTTTATGAAATGTTAAAATACAAAGTTACAATAGTTATACAAGTTATATTAGATGCATAAAAAGCCTTCATCTAAATTTTCAGGTGTAACTTTTATAGAATTTTCTGCTAAACGTTTTGATGGGTGCATTCAAGGATCCAGAGCACCTTTTATTTACGAGGTGAAATAATTGTAAACCAAGTCATGAGTACACTTATCACACGTGTTGTTCCTAAGAACTATGTACAGGAGGTCTGAAGCCACGGAGCTATCAGTTTATGATAGACACTTGTTTTTGCAGTATATTAAAGTACTTTAATTTATGGTGAAAGTCCTAGATGCTTCATGGAAGAGCTGTTTAACTGATGTTTAGTAAATTTAATGCTTCTACAGAACACCCCACCCCACTCCCCTTTAAAAGAATAGCAATATTCTTCATCAGCACCACAGCAAGCTGTGGAGGTCAAGTCATTGAGTGTATTTAAGATAGATAGACTAGTCCTTTACCAATGAAGAACCTAAGGTTTACAGAAGGCAGCAGAATGGGGTTGAAAAGCACATCAGCCATGATTGAATGGCAGAGCCGATTCAACGGGCTGAATGGCCTAAGCCTACTCCTATAACTTATGGTCTTAGGAGTCTATCACTGTACTGAAAAAATATCAAATTCCAGCCCTTCATAAAACACTACATTTAAAATGCATGATTAATTTTCTGTTTTGACATTTACAATTTTCCCAAAACATAAACATTTAACATGATATTACTAGGCATTTTCACAATAACTAGGATTAGGTGTTTCTTTAACATCATGCAAAAACAATGTATTTCAACACAGAACTTTCAACATAGTAAAGCACTCTAAGGTATCGTGGGTGGTGCAATGCAGGTTCTCGGCTATGATTTTTCATCACTTTGCTGAAGGGCTCTGGAATACTCTTAAGGAAGAGCACAGCATCGATTGCTTATTGGGTGGGGGAGGGGACATTTATTAAAGTCATCTTGAAAAATTCTCATATTTCTTACACGTTTCAAGTTTTCTGCACCTGTCACTTTAGGAATTATGTACACTAAAACAGAAAAGGGAATGGGTGAAAATTTTTCAAGTGAGAACTTTTTCCAATACTTATTTGAAGTTACTGTAATAATCTACAGTTAGAATAATTTTGCAGATGACACTTCTGTCTTTTCAAAACATGGAAATAAGGAACTAAAAAAAGTGTGCAATCAATTTATGAAGGCAATGCATTTCAGAATAAGTGGTTAAGCAGCTTTTGAACCACTAGCACCTCAGGTTAAAATACTGACTTAGGACAACTATTAATTTGTATTGTAGTTTTCCTTTACAGTATAGCATGAACAAGAGCATGCAGCATAATTCTGTATCAGAGATAGTAGCAGATGCTGGAGAATCTGAGATAACAAGGTGTAGAGCTGGATATTCACAGCAGGCCAAGCAGCATCAGAGGAGCAGGAAAACTGATGTTTCAGGCCTAGACCCTTCCTCAGAAATGGGGGAGGGGAAGGGGGTTCTGAAATAATTAGGGAGAGAGGGGGAGGCGGATAGAAGAGAAGATAGGTGGAGAGGAAACCAACAAGTCAAAGAGGCGGGGATGGGGCCAGTAAAGGTGAGTGTAGGTGGGGAGGTAGGGAGGAGATAGGTCAGTCCAGGGAGGACAGACAGGTCAAGGGGGCGGGATGAGGTTAGTAGGTAGGAAGTGGGGGTGCGCCTTGAGGTGGAAGGGATAGG